TGTGTGTTTTGAGTCTGGTTTTGTTTTTGATTTTTTAAAAATAATTGAAATGCTCAAAAAATAAAAATAAAAATATGGGGATGTAGAGAGCAAAAAATCTACACCCCCAATTTTTTTTTTGTTTTTTTTTACTTATTTTTAGACTACAAGAAAAATATTTGCGGGCCAAGTTGAACCACGTTGTAACAGGGTATAACGCGGAGTTGAAACAAAATTCAACGGGAGTTGAATCGTTCAACTCGAAACCCCCGTTGAACGTGATTTCGAACACACAGATGACCATAAATCAGTTGCGCTCRGGAAGGACACTAAGACACAGCGACGTCAGCATCATCATCCCTTTCTACGGCATCGGAATCCCCGCCAGTTACTTCAATTACTGAAGAGGATTTCTCCTTACCTTTGTGGCGGTCGTCAACTCCAAAGGCCTTCTCAACTCTTCGAGCAGCGATCAACTCCTTCGTTGGTTCCAAGGTAGTGTAAGGTATTCCCTCTTCCCGACAGATTTGCTGCACTTCCTCTTTGTTCTTACGACATAGGTTCTTCTTCTCCATCTGCAAAAGCGCATCCCGATCGTTGACTTCGGTGGCAACAGCAGTTCCTTTCTTCTTCGAAGATGGACAAGGTGGTTTACAAGTGGAGGCTCCTGCGACTTCATCCAATCGTTTCTTGAGATTGGTGCCCTTCTGCCTTTGACCCATCTCCAATCTCACCATCTCGGCCTTCAATTTCTCAACTTCTTTTTCCGCTTCTATGCGTCCATTGGCGTCCTTCAGCCGCATCTCCTTGAGCAGGTTGACTTCCATGTTATGACGATCTACGATTCCTTTCAAAGCTGGATTGGTTCTTCTGCTGGTTCGTACACTAGATGGTCCAGGAATACTGGCTTCTTGACGTGGAGTTCCTTTCAGTCGAGAACGAGCATGCGATGTCGGGGTTTCGAGGACAATGCTCCCTCGCTTGTTACCTGACCATAATGCTTCAGCCTTCCATAGCTCAGCACTTGCCTCGGCAGCTTCTTTGCTCTTCGTCAGACTGCTGATTCGTTCTTCCATCACGGCAAACCGCCTATCCGCAGCTGCTCGCATCTCCTCTTGTTCGGAACGAAGGTTGCTCATCGTATCGGTGTCGACGTTAATAGGATGGACCAGTGTAACAACTTCCTTAGCTCTCGTCAGTCTAGCGACATCTTCACGCAGCTTAGCGAGCTCATTAGCCTCCTGATCACACTTATCAATCTTTTCACAAATCTTCTTCCATTGTTTACTCAACTCCTGACTAAGTCTCGAATGCTGTTCTTCACGTTCCTGCGTGTCCTTCAATCTTCTCTCATCCTCTTCTTTTTCCTTGTTCCTTCTTTCCGTTTCTTGCTTCGCAGCTAACTCCTTGGCCTCATCCGCATCGTGCTTGGTCTTGATTCTTCCCACAATATCTTTGAGAGTAGAGACGCGGTTACGTAACGAATACTTCTTGTTGGAGTAACCATTAGGCTGGTTAGAATAGGACGCCCCTCCTACAGCAACTCCCTGCACGTTACTAGGCCCAGTCACCAAAGGTTGGGCCTGGACAAGAGCCGTACTAGTGCTAGCGTGCCCTCCATTGAGCCGTTTATCCGGTAGAGGGCAGAACCTCGAAATATATCCCTGTTGCCCGCAATTGTAACACGACCTGTTGTCGGTGATCTGTAAATTCGCCTGAGAAGCCATCGATTTGAAGCCACACGAAATGTAGTACAACTCCTACGCTGGTTACTTCGTGCATGAAAGTTCACACAAGTGCCGATCACAAAGATTGGCGAAAGAACGTCAAACCGAAACAGAAGTGCCGATCACTTCCTGGCCAGATACATTCCTCAAAGCACTGGTGAGGTGAGGCCTTCCCGACGTAGGTGGATTCAAAGTTCCTCG